TAAACATAAGACAAACAATTCAAAGGTGTTAAGAAGTTCACCTACAGAGGATTATAACTCGAAGAGCTTGTCAAATTGCCAATGGATAAATTGGTTGAATAATTCAGAGCAAGATAAAGAAGAAGAATTTCTAATTAAGGTGAAAAAGTGCATGCTTTCTAAAATTTAATGAAGAAAGTAAATAAGCTTTGTTTGACATAATTATAGATTCGTAAATCAAAGAAAGAAACTTTACCAGGAGAAAAACCTAAACCTGTCAAGACTCATTAAAGAAATACTATTGTAGTTCCAGAGATGGTAGGATCAATCGTTGGAGTTTATAATGGCAGATAATTTAGTAATGTTGAAATTAAGTTTGATATGATTGGCAGGTATAAATAAATGCAAAACTATAATTATAGATATTTGGGTGAATTCTCTTTAACTTATAAACCAACAAGACACGGAAAACCAGGTGTTGGTGCTACAAAGGGATCTTAACATACAGATTGATATATATAATATAAGTACAATAAAAAATGCAAACTTATTAATCCATTCCATCATTACCAATATATTGTAAAGGTAATTAAATATTATAATATACATCATTAAATTGAAGAATTTATGTTAAGAGTATTCTAAAATCTATCTAATAATTTAAGAATTTTATTTTATAATCATCTCATTTCAGAAGCCATAGGAGATAAGTCTTAGTTATCTTATGTGATTGGTCTGTTATTATTATTGAGTTATAAATTTATTTATTCTTAAACACCAGAGATTGGAGTTTAATCAGCTTTTGGTAAATAAATAATCTTTTTTGATGAAGCCATCTTTATATGTCTGGTTGTGCTTGTATAAGGTTATTCTTCCTTTTCATCTAATTGTTATTATTAAGGTAAATGAATTTGATGATATTTTTTATATAAGATGATAAGAGTTCCCATTAAAACTAAAAAAGAAGCAATAGATATAACATATAGTAGGACTATGATTAGATAAGTATCTTTGCCACCTCCAAATGCTTTTGGATCTACAAATTATATTGTATATGTCTTATTTAATTGACAGATTTTATTTTTCATATTTGATTTACAATATGTAGACTTTTGCTGATAGATTAATTCTAATTCAGATGTTGTAGAATCAGAATAACATTCAATGTATGATTGTTACTATATGATTTATAATAATTTAATACCAATTCAATTTTAGAAAAGAAAAACTTATGTTAAGTAATGCCAACAATAATATTATGAGTAGTTTTATTATTATTTTTATGTGATTTAATATCTAAAATTAATGATAAGATATCTAATTACTTCAGATTTGGTATCACTAATTGATTCATCCACTCAAATTAAGAAAAAGTGGAAGGAATTGAGTGAAACAAAATCTGATGTCCATTTCTACCTATAATAATAGCAAATGTATCTGTTAATTAGATATCAATTATATCTGTTTCTAAGTTATGTTATTTGATTAGCTCATAATTATTTTTATAATAATCTATTCGAAATTCAAATAAAGTCTAATTTTTTACAATCATTAAAATATCACCATAAACATCTAGAATTTCTCCTGGATATGGTATTTATCCCATATGAGAATTAAATTATAAAATTGTACTTCTTCCTATATTATAAATATATTAGCTAACTCCATATTGTTCATCTAATAAATAGATAAAATAATTATCATCTTTATTTTAATTGAAAACTTTAATATCTTAGATTTTGCCAACCATTTAGGAATCTAAAAATATTTCACTTAATTAATGATTTGCAAATTCAAACATCTTTATACCAGTATTCATTGCTACTATGATGAGATTATTAGCTGTTGCTATGCTATTAATATGTTAGATTTGCCATTATTCATATACTTTGTATTATTTAATATAGAGATCATCATCATCGAACTCTAAATCCAAAGCAATAGTTTCACCATCACCTATAATCAAAACTGAATTTTATTCATAAAAGTATTCAATAAACACAGTTTTTTAAAGTGCTATTTCATCAATATTTAATTTGAAAGTAGCTTGTTATTTAAATTTTGTGTCTTAAATTCTCAAAAAATATAATTCTCCATCATCCCTCAATACAAGTATCCCACGTTTTATTTAGACAAATTTAAGAATTTTTCCTATTTTCCCCTTATAAGACCCATATTCAAAATCTAAACTAAAATTATCATCACTATAACTATCTATTAAGGTTATAGAATTATCATCAATATTATTTGCTACTAATTGTTAAGGTATAATTTTGCATAATTGTTATTCTGTAAGTTATTATTCAAGAATTATGCCTGATTAACTGAAAACATCTAAAACTGCTTCTTATCTAGTTAAAATTTGTATCAATTCAGAATTTGTTAAAATGAAAAGTTAAAGAAAAATAAAGAACATTGAATAAAAACTTATTTTTTTTAATATTATATTTATTAAGATTTTTATCAAAAAATGCATGATAACTCTTTAGTTTTGATAGAAATTCTATTTTATTTACATTAATATAAAGTATTACTACATCTAATCTATTCTATGATAATCCCTCTTACTTAAAATTAAATGAATTATTTTCATTATTAAATAAAATAATAATTGGAGTTATAATTGAAACCGTTTATAATATGATGTCTTATCTTTATTTTATTCATAATTTTCCTATAAAAAAAGATTAAATTTATAAACTATGTTCATTTTTATGAAAATTGATTTAAATATAAAATTTAATTTATTTATCACATTTCATCATCTTAAAGTACAATATTCTATTATTAATGTAAAATCATTAATTTATCAATTATAATCTCAGACAATACCTCCCAATCTTTCCATATTAAATTCACAAATTGTATTATATCATAAATTAATGCACCTATCACAATTCCTATCCACACTCCCTTAAGTCCCATATTAGCAGGATAACAAAGAAAATATCCAATTATTTCTCCTAAAACCAAATAACATAATATAAATGTAATAGAAGCACTTGCTTATCTTCCTATAGCTCTTACTAATCCTGAGATAATGGCTTATAAACCTATTATTATTATATATATATATAATATTACCATCCAAAAAAATGAATGCAACTAAAAGATAGATAGAATTATTGATTTCTTCAATAACATTTTTATCTTCACTCAAATATTGAATTATAGTTTTTCCAAAAATTGAAAATAAACCTAATGTTATTATTAAAAAGATTCCATCTATTAAAAATGTAGCTTTAGTGTATTTTATAGCCATATCCACTTTCTTTCTTCCCATTTCATTTCCAACAAATGTAGTAGATGCTATTGAAATACCATAACTGAATTGATATAAAAATCCTGCAAAATTAGACATTAATACATGAGCACTTATAGTTGAAGTTTTTAGATAACTAATCAAAATTACATAAAAATCAAAACTTACCCATTCTAACCATTATATTGAACCTATAGGTATTGCTTATTTCAAAAATTTGAATGTATTTTTTAAATAACTTAGTTTAAATTTAAATAAAGTAGCTTAACTGCATTTAGTTATGAAAATTAATGAAAATAAGATTATGTTATTTAAAAGATCCAAAATTGTTAAACTTAATGCACAACCTACTATACCTAATTCCTATTTCACAACCAAAAAGTAACTTATACCAAGAAAAAGGATGCATGTCACAAGCTATGTGTAGAATTAATATTTGTAAATGTTTTAACCATTAAGAAATACTTTGGTGTTCACAAAGATTGCATTCAAGTACACTGCTAATATCATAAATCTATTGAAATGTCCTGTTTCTTCTGCTAATTCTGTATTGCTAAAGTAAACCAGCACTTGTACTTGTTGATAAAGGATATTATTTATGTTGAGAATATCAAGAATAGTGAAATAGGAATCATAAACAAGGTGCACAAAAACAACGATCTATAATACAACTTTGCACATAATTCATAATGATTTCCCCCATAAGCCTATGAGACTAAGGTTTCCAACCCTGTAGCTAAACCATTTAATATTCCCATTCCAAATGCTTGGGTTGTAAGAATTCCTAGTCCCAAAGCTCCTACTAATGAAGAGTCTTCTTTGAATTCTAGTAAATATATCGATATTGTATTAGGTAGATATTCTAATAAAAAGCTCATTGCAGTTTGTAGGGAGGCTATGGTTAACTCTTTCATCACTGAACCCTATTAATAGAGCGGACGAATTAATTAAAGTTCGCTCATTATAAAATTAATGAAAAGAATTCTTTAACATTTTAGGTATTCATAGCAGAAAACTCAAAATTTGATATTGGTTGACTTTAATGATAAATTAATATGTAGTTATTCAAATTTAATAATATTTAGAACCAATAGATAAATGGGAAGCTCATTCAACCAAATACATTTTTAATGAAAGATCATTTCCTCATCGAGCATTTAGCTTATTTTTGTTTGATAAACATTATAGATTATTACTTCAATAACGTAGCAATGCTAAAAAGACATTCCCTTTATTATGGGCTAACACTTGTTGTAGTCACTAATTATATCATGAAAATGAAGATGATTAAGTTATGAAATACAGTAGGAGTGAGTATTATGTGAAAAAAAGAACTTTGGAAGAATTAAATTTTGATATTAAGGATACCCAAATTGAATTAGTCTAAAAAATAATTTACTCAGCTAAGGATAATGATTAATATGGAGAATATGAATGTATCATTAATAATTTATAATATTTAGTGGATTACATTTATTTTGCAAAGTTGCAATAAGATCAACCTTAAATTAATGGAAATCCTGAAGAAGTTAATGATTACAAATGGTTAACCTTGAATGAATTTCTACAATTTAAATAATTAAATAAAGTAAGAATTGATTAATTAAGAATTCATTTACCCCTTGGTTCAATTTGATTAATGATTCTTACCTTTTGAATTGGTGGTCAAAATATTAAGAAAATAACAAAAGTTTTTTTTCTAAAGAAACAATTGTGAAATTAAATTGAAAAACAAATATTATATAATTATTCGTTTTATATGAAAATAATATGGTTATTGATTGCCATCTTAATAGTGGCAAATGCACAATAAGTATTTTTGGGATAAATCTAAAAAGGACTCTTGTTATGAAGTTGATCCAAAGGATCCTCCTAGAAGAAAAGAAAAAATCCCTTTAATTTATCATTCTGGATGGACTCAAGAATTAGTTGTTGCAAAACCTAAGGGTAACAGGCCTTAACCATAAGAGTACATGAATTAAGAATATATTGATTAACATTTGAAGTATTTCAGATATGGGGCATCATTCATTATCACAACAGCATGGTTGGATAATAATGGTAGAGAATTTGTAGGAAATAAAAATGGTATATTTGTGATACCTAAATCCTAAATGGATTAACTCTTAAATACAGCAAATGGCAATTTATCAATCGTTGAGAAAAATCTAGGAGTTAATCCAGGAAGTTGGTAATTTAGGAGATTGAGTCGAATTGATGTTCCTTTTCCTGAAAAGTTTAATGTTAGAATGCCAACTGGAAATGAGGTTGGAGCTAATTAGTATTGGAGACCTGGTGGAGTATTACCAAATGGATTATTGGAGGCAGTCATTGACATGGTTCCAAAAAGTGATTATTAAGAATTCTAATTGAATCTATAATGAAATGGCAACTGTAATATATTTAAATTTTCAAATGTAATTAAATTAAAGTCCTATACCATAAGAAAAACTTAGTTTTCTCAACACTCTCTTAGACAAAGAGCTTGATATGCTCAAATGTAATAATGTCCCTAGTTATCTTCAAAAAACATAACCTTCATCATATTTTGAATAGGAATCAATTCAAAATTCTAGTATTAGAGCCTTAAGTAATAATCCAACATCATAAACCAAACGCACAACTAATGGAGATTTGAATGAAATATAAGATAAAATTGTTACTATTGAAGCAAGAATTCAAAAAAATATTGAAAAATAAATTCAACCAAATCAATTAGTGCAACAATAAGAGTTTAAAGATTCAGATGAAGAAACACCTCTAAAGAATAAATACAATCATATTCAATCATCACATAAAAAACAAATAAAATTTACAGAGTAAGAACAATCAACTAAAACACTAAATAAATCCTCTTTTCATGAGGAGAGGAAGAATAAATTTTAATAATTGGAAAAGAATATTGAAAATGCAGAAAACAAATTATCTTAATCAAAAGCATAAAGAAAATCTATGAGTCAAGTAAAATCAAAAAGTAAAGAAAAATCTTAGACTTCATTATAGAGAGGCACTAGCACTTAACAATAATAAGATGTCTAATCATTATAAATTAAATTATCATAATTAAGAAAATAATGGGAAGATGATAGGGCTTAATTAATAAAGGAAAAATAAAAGAATTAATAAATGCAATAGTAATTAGATTAATTAAATAAAAAATTGAAGAAAGCATTATAATAAAATGAAAAATATAGTCAAATTGAATAAGAATAATAAAGATTATAAGAGAATTTTGAAAAGAGTGAATTTATTAGATAATAGTAAAAATAATTAATATAAACATTAAAATAAGAAATTGAAGATTTTAAATCAAATAACAATAACAATAACAATAATAATAATAATAATAATAATAATAATAATAATAAAAGTAAATAAAAAAAAAGAGGATTAGAGGATAATAGCAACAAATACTTAAATAAATGAATATTATTTCATAATTAAGATTATAATTTAGAATTAAGTCCATAATTATTGCGATTAACACCTACTTTATCTTCCCACATATATCCATCCATTGAATGTTTAGTCTAATAATCAAGACCAATAATTCTTTTTTTATTCTTTAAATCAGGAGTATATGCTGTTAAAACAATAGTCTCTCCCTCTTTGAATTCGTATTTAGTTTCACCTCTGTAGATAACTGTGATATCATCATCAAAATTTGTGAGGATAAATTTTACATCAAGGGTGCCTCTTTTGATTTCTATTGTTCCAGGTTTTATAATGCCAGCAATTGAGTAATGTTAATTTTCCTTAATTTTATCATTCTTTAAATAATCTTCAACAGGGAAAATCACTTATTTATCTACAAAATAATGTGAAATAAATGTTGCACTAATCTAAATTCCTGCTAAAATGCCGATAGCTCTATAAATAGATCCTTTAAAAACTTCACTTCTTAGCTTATTAACTAAATAGAATGAATTTAGTACTTAGAGAGAAGGAATAAGTTATTTAAGGTCTGCTTAAAGTTAGAAATACTCTGCTTTTCGATATCATAATTAAAACTTAATTATGGTATATTAAATTTATTTAATCTTAATGATGATCATGAAATAAAAATTGGCAGCATTTATAATGATATAATAAAAAGAAATTTAGAATAAAATAATTGATTTCATAATGATGCTTGATAAGTTAATTATATTTTAAATATAATAATAAATTATATTTATTTCAGCATTTACAACCTTATTCCTATTCAATCTTTTATGTATCTAAAGTTCTTAATCTAGTATCATTTTCAGGAGGTTGGGCATTTGTACGTTTCTAATCCACTAAATTCAAAATAATTTTGCCTAAATCCAAAAATAATTAATTGACATTATCTCCTGTTTTAGCAGATGTTTCCAAATAATTTACACCTAAATCTTATGCAAGTTCACTGCCATTTTTGGAGAGAATCTAGAATATAATTGATTTACTTACAACTCTTTTACTGATTAAATCAACTTTATTTGCTATTAAATAGCAAGCCTCAGGTATTAAGCCATGTTCTTCAATCACCAATTTTAAGAATTTCTTAGCATCCTCAAATGATCTAATAAATAATAAGAATTACATAAGTACCTTTCACATGTAACATCATATACAGCAATACAACCATGAGCCCCCTTATAGTGAGATTAAGTTAAAGCCTAAAAGCGCTCTTATCCTGCTGTGTCCCAAATCTGCATTTTAATACTAATAAGTATGGGTACTTAGTTACGTCTTATCATGTATTGATAGGGTTTTGATTCTGAAATCAACTCCAACTGTTGAAAGGTAACTATCATTAAAAACTTGATCTATGAATCTGGCCATAAGGGAAGATTTTCCTACATTCTAAGATCCTATTAGTACAATCTTAAAGATGTAATCTACTTTTTACATTTGTATATATTAATTAATATAAATTTCATAATTTAGTATGTGAATCTATGTATATTTTTAACTAATGTGCAGGATCAACATCGACATATTTGCAGTGATCATTTCGACAATAATGACAATTATACATTTTATTGGCGAGAGATTATACTGCACAAACATGACAAACATAATTTGAACAACAAGTTGTATGAAGCATACCTATTAATAATGTATATAGATTATACAGTCATAATATTTAAAACAGATTGGACAATAATATTTGCAGTTTCCTTATAAGGTATCACAAAACTAAAATACTATTAAATATATTTTGAATACATTAGTTTTATTGAATTCTGTAATTATTTTAAGATTCTTATCAAAGTATAATCCATCTTAACAAATTAAATTTAACTAATGAAGATTTCCTAATGAAGCATGTTTCCGTTCCTTTTTCTTTTTTCCACAACAAGCAAACATCTAACGATAATTTTAATTTAAATTAGTATTTTAATAAAAAATTAAATCATTGTAGATAACGAGTGATAATCTCTTCTATGTCTCCAATTTTTAATGGCTTTTCATAATAATCTACAAATCCATAATTTAATGTTTATTATTTCATATGTACTCCATGTCCACTAACAGCAATAAGAACAGGCATTATAGCCATTGTTTCATTAACATATTCTTTAATCATTTTAGCAGTTCCAAAACCATCAATAATTGGCATTTCAATATCTAAAAGAACAACTCTATAAAATATATGATTTCGAATCCGTTCATCTAGAATTTTTAAAGCATGTTAACAATTAATTGCATAATCAATTCTAGTTATTCCCTTTCTATTAAATAGCTTAATCAAAACATCAATATTAAATTGATTATCATCAACAATTAGTAATTCTCTCTATCGAAAGGCTTGACTTGAATAAATACGTTAGATTCGAGGTTAAGTTTCAATATCTACTAAATCTTCTTCTTCATTATTGCTCTCATTACCACAAATTATAACAGTATCAAATTCAGTCTCATAATCTATTTCAAAAGAGAAAGAACTTCCTTTATAAAGTTCAGATTCTATTTTGATACCAACCTCTTTAGTTGAAAGTGACTTACATATCATATTACTAATTAATAATCCTAATCCAACACCAGATCGATTGAATTATTTTGTTTCATCATCATCCAATCTACCAAATGCTTTGATTAATTTCTTCCTATCTTCCTCTCTTATACCAAAACCAGTATCATTTATTTTAATTTCTAAAGTTCCATCTTTTTAATCCTTCACAATTACTGTTATACTACCTTCAATTGTGAATTTGAATGCATTTCCAATCAAATTAATTAACACCTATTTTATTCTTACATCATCATTATATATTTCTTTTGGAGCATATTAATCATATTCCAATCTCAAAGCAATAGAATTTCTCTTAGCTTCTACTCTAAATAAATCAAATAATTATAAAATTAATTATTCAAAATTGAATTTGATTTTGTGTAATTTAAATTTTCCAACTTTTATTTATGCAAGATCAAGTAAATCATGACTGAAATTCAATAAATAATAACAATTCCACAAAACATTTTTGATAGTATCATTTTTTTACTCAATTTCTTCTAATAATTAAATTATGCACTTTATTGGAGTTCTAATTTCATGTGATACAAAATTCAATGAATTTGATTTTGCTTTACTATGTTGATTAATTGATTTGATATAATCTTTATAGGATACATCTCTAGTCAAAATTAATAATTAAGGTTAATCATTAAGATATGATATAAATAGTTTGATTTCAATACAAACATCTTTTTTTGATTATGATGTAGTATATCCATTCAAAATTGTATGTAAATCAAATCCTATTTGAGTTTTAGTTAATAAGGATTGTACTTCTTAAGAATGAATTTACAGAATAGCCTATTCTAAAGCCATTTTGAAAGGCTATTTTTATAGAAAACTTTACATTTTTGGAAAATTTCAATCTTGTATTGATAAACTACTCATTATTAGGATTCTAAACTGTAGTTGATGCTCGATACATAGATCTAACTATTCCAATTTTATGCTTTTCAGGAGAATACATACTTTTGTATGTGGAAATTGATGCTGACATATCCTAAGATTATTATTTCTTTTTCATAATATGTAAATTTTTGAGTGACATTAAAGAACTTAATAACTCTGATTAAGTTGTATGCAATAAATTCATCATAGTTTGATTACAAAAATCAACTTAAGGTTCTCTATTTTCATTGAATATTATTAATGCAACTCCATCAGGAAATTCATCAAGAATTTATAGAAATTAATCTAATATTGATAATGTATTATGTTTACATTTAGTGCTGGTTTTGTGACCAGCTTAATTATCACTATAAGCTATAGATTAAAGATGTATTTTATCAGATTTATCAGTTTTATCCAGTTCATTCTCTTCTCTTAATTTCTTAGATGAGAGTTAAGTTGGTGAATATTCAAATTTAGATTATTTCAATTAGACATCAACTACAAAAATAAGGAATGAGAAACATATCATGATAATTTCTGGGATTCCTCCATACATGATCATCCCTATAATTACAATATAGGATAGTTTAAATAAGAGAAATTTAGATGGTTTCATTTGCATTAGTTGTAGAGATACAATTAAAGTACTACAAACATCTTTTAAAATAATTCCCATTGGTACTGTCAACAATACTTAAGATATTTCAGTAATGATGTATTCGTATTTTTTCCATTTTAAAACAATTATCTACATTATTACTCCTAAAATGCTCAATATAAGTTAATAATGGATAGGGTTTATGCTTAAGTATGCTATCAAAATTAATGATTATGCAATCCCACTAAATTATTTAATATTCATATTATTAATGAGCAAACATGAATCTGATGAATAGGAAGGTATGTGTTAGCTTTTACTATTTCTAATAAGATTTTTCAGAAGATGAAGATTTTGTGGAAGAGAAACCCCTTGAACCTAGACCATATAAGACAGATCATGTAGATGAAACTATTTAGGTAAATTGACAAATCTATTGATTAATAAAGGAAATTCAATCTATTACTGTTAAAGATAGACCATTCATTAAGATGTAGTTTATTAAAAAGAGAAAAGAGTTTGGGTAACTCTTAATTATAAACATTTAGTTTAACATTCAAATTTAGCGATTAAGAAACATCTGAAAGAACAGGTGAGATCAAGGCTCTTGATAAGGATCCACTTCAACTTGTTAAAAATAAGGTTATAGAAATGGGCATATAAGGATGCAATCCTTTTCAAGATGCTAGTTCTTAGACTGTTTGGAATAGAAAAATTAATAAGGCTTTGCAAGTTGATGAAGGAGATGAAAGATAAGAATAAACAGATGAAGATTTTAAATTGCTTAAATTTTTGGAAACTGTTTATCCATTAATGGAGGAAGCATTATAATCAAATGAAACAATTGATATATATTAGGATGATTTCAATGTATTGCCACTCTCAGAATAAAACGGAGGTATCATTAAATCTTTAATAAAATTTTAGATTAAAATGCTGAACTTACTAATGTGATCAAAGAGATCAAAAGTTTCAGTTATTTAAATTGTAAAGGTAAAAAAATATAATGCATTCAATTTCAACCTACTAGTTAAGCTATCAAATCAAAATATATTGTTGCAGAATCTTTTGTGGAAAATCTTCTTTTTGAAGAAAGAGCCATATATTAATTAAAATCTCATAAATCACTTATAGTATTCTGGGATTTTGAAGATATTCATTCAATAGAACCAGTGCTTCTTTTGTAATCTCCACTTGAAATACTCTCTTTTGAATTCAATCCCAAGGATCCTAATATAATAGTTGGTGGCACTATCAATGGTTAAGTTATGTTATGGGATCTTAGTGGTACAGCTCTCTCTGTTTTTGCATCTAAAAAAACTTAAAAAACTAAATAAGAACGAAGTATTAATAGAATTCTCACTATTTTTAAGATGAAATTTAAGAACTTCAACCTAAAATGGTATCAGCATTACAAGATCCAGCATCATATTAAGCTGGATCATCTAATGAAGTTTTGAGAAAATAAGTTGCATCTCATAAAAATTCTGTTTTAGCTGTGAAATGGTTTCCAATAGGAATGGAATTTGATAAGAAGCACTTCAATCATCTTATACTTACTACCTCTTAAGAAACTTATTAATTTGCTAGTATTAGTTCTGATGGTTAAATTCTATTTTGGGACAGTAGATTAATTGATAAAGACAGTAAAAAGACATAATAAGATGTATAAATCATTTGATTATAAATTAGATATCTACTATACCTTGGAAGGCTACATATGGAATTTAATTGTATAGACCAGAAGGAGGAGGAATGATGGGAGGAGGTTAAATTTAATTCAGAAAAAGTATATTTTAAATTTTATAAAAAATAGATTAAAAAACTCCAACATTATCAGGAACATCAGATGAAGGTGAAGTCTTTACTTTAGATTGGGGAGAAAAATAAGGAGAAGAAGGATAAAAGAATTAATTAGTGTCTTCAATTTGGTAATAATAACGTAGTATGAGACCACCTATTGCTTTGGATGTAAGTCCATTTTTTGAAGATGTTATACTTACTTTACATGATTTCAATTTTTGTGTTTGGAAACAAAATGTCACTTTTCCAATATTTGAAAGTCTCATCATGAAAGGAGCCCACATAACTTGTGGTGGATTCTCTCCCTATCGTGCTGGTGTCATAATTATTGGAAAAACTGATGGTAATTTGGATGTTTGGGATATGTTGGATTAATCTCATAAATAAACTATTTAATTTTAAGTTGTTGCATGTGCAATAACATCATTAAAATTTAATGAAAATATGGCTCATATTGTGGCTGTTGGTGATTCAGATGGTACTTTGCATCTCCTTGAATTTCCATAAAGTTTATGTAAAGATTAAGGAAATGAAGTCAAAGCTATGAGATTATTTTGGGAAAGAGAAGTTAAAAGAGTAAATTATTATTCTGATAGATTCAAAATAAGAGAATAATAAGCAAAATAGTAAAATGAAAAAGATATCTAATAATAATAACCAATTAAAGAAACAAAATAATCTGGTGATGTATATATATATAATTATTATCAAAATAGACTAAAGTATTAGATGAAATAGCATACTTTGAAAATGAATACTAAAAATTCAAAGATGCTTTACTTGGAATTGGTCCCAAACCAGAAGATGAAAAAGGTGCTACAAAAGGTAAGAAATGAATAAAAATTTCATTCAAAATGTATAATTGTAAATTTTTATAATTTTTATTTCTATTTCTTTATTTTTTTATTTACATAATAAAAGTATATTTTTGACTCAATTTGATATTGGAATCAAAATTTAAAGATTTACTTTAACTGTGAGCAATGAAATTTTTCAAATATTTTTATTGATATTTTATATAATTTAATCCAATAATTCTAAACATTCCTGATAGATTTAATAAATTATACATTATTAGAGAAATACAGAATGAATTGGATCTAAAAAATAATATGATATAGAATATATTTATGGCAATTTATTTATTATATAAAATATAATTGAAATATTAGTATATTTTAAGATAATTGAATAATTTTAGCTCGTTTCTTAGAACGAGAAATAATTAAGTATCTCTATAATATAAAGAAGAGCTTAAGTGCATTTTAAGTATGATATTGCTACTTAATCATATGTATTCATTATTATTTAGTTAATTTTTGTATTTATTCATATGTATATTGATGCAATTCAATGTCAAAGTCAAATAATTCATTTAAATGTTCTATTATAATTTTTAAACAATTATCTTTATCATCATAATATGCTACTCCAATAATTGAATAAATTGAATTATTTACAATAGGCTAATGATATGATAGTTCAATTTGTTTCTTATTCTTTGTCAAGATATCAGTACCTTAAATAGTTTACCATTCTCCATAATTTTTAGGTTATTATTGATATAATTAAAGATAAATGGAAATATCTCCTTGTTCTATGTCGTCAAGAGTGATCCATTTATAAAGTTTTTATTTCATATAAAATGGAAATAAATAAATTGAATGAAGTTAATCCAGATGATTTAGATGTTATCTTTAGAGGAATCTAATTATTTATTGATCAAAAAGAGAATGATTTAGAAACAACGATTCCATAATTGGTTGATAAATACAAATATTATTAACTTTAAGATCATGATAAAAAGTTTTAATTATTTTGTTAACAAACAGATTATTCCACCGATTTTAGATTAGAGTATCAGAGTTAATTGAAAAGTGCAAGAATTAAAATACCATTAATTATGTATTGAGCATTAGAGATATACTTAATTATAAAGCATAGAATTTTGCTGTTATACTAAATAAAGTACAGAAAAGATGTGAAATGCAAGTAACTCAATAAAATGATGATAATCCATAAATTTAGATGAAGAGATCTATACCTTCATGGCAATTAAATAGTTAATAAAATCGAACGTTGTTCTAATTTTATGATCATGATTTTTGGAAACTTTATGATATTATGCTTCTAAATAAGTATTTATTTAAAATTAAACTAGATAACACTGTTAAAACCTAATAGTATTTCATTAATCAAAGTATGAGAATGTAGAAAGATTATTTGCATCTAGTTTAGAAAGAAATTAAAGATTTCTTTAATCAAAAACCTTACCATTCATAGAAATAACAACTCTAACAGATAAAGCTAAAAAATTAAAGTTTCTTTAACTTACATAAACAATGGAAACACCTTATGCAAATAAAAATATCACTATGTTTGGTAATTAGAGTCCAACCAAAAAAACTCAAGTTAGTGTTAAACATTCGATTTCGATTAGTCCTCAAAGAACTTAAAGTAGAGATCCTTAAGATTAAGATAATAGAAGTATGTTCGATACAGAAAATTTCAATTTATTTGATACTAATTACAAAATCACTAGAGCAAAGAATTTATCATTGCATAATGACAAAAATATTGCTGGTTCAACTAAATAGAAAGGAAAATCAAAATTATAATAAGAAAATTTTAGTCCTTAAAAAGTTTGTAAAAATCAAAATTGGATGTTACCAGAAATAAAGTCTCCATTTTATATTGATTAAAATGGTATTTATTATAATAAAATTAGATTCTCTAATAAAACCAATTCAAATTCATTAAAATTATGTATATACTTAGAGTCCTGATAAAAGAACTACAAAGAAACCACCTTTAGCATCAGATCTCAATAGTACTATTTGTCAATAATTGTTACCCTAATATAGAAATAATACAAGAGCATTTCAAACAATAAAAAGTTTTATCCGAAAATGATTCTAAATAAATGTTATTTAAGAATTTATTTTTAATTTTACTTTTTTCTTATGACATCTTTCTCCAATTTTGATGAGAAAACTTCGTTAATAAATTTATGTGTTAAGACTTTGCAAGTAGAAAAATTAATTTTTACATTTTTAGATAGCTCCATCTAGAAGAACATAAAGTGATTTAGCTCTACTGTTACAATTAGTTGAAGCTATTACATTTTTTAAAAATCTTCAATCTCAAAATCCTGATATTGTACTCAAATGTATGACAGTCTTAAGTTATAAGACTGTAAAAAAAGAAGAAGTAAATAAATAATTTATAATTTTAAGATATTGTTTCATGTAGGAGATTCAGGGTCCTTATTTTACATAATTCTTAAAGGATCTGTGGGAGTTTATATATTATTACCAAGTCCTGAAGATTTCAAGAAATTTGAATTGAAAGAAGTGAATATATTAAAGGCTGGAAATAGTTTTGGTGAATTAGCTTTGTTGAATGATAATGCAAAACGAACAGCAACAATAATAGCAAAAGAGGATTGTATGTTTGCAGTAATGGAGAAACATCATTTTAAAACAATATTAGGTGCATAAGAATAATAAAAAGTATAAGATCGCATATCATTCTTATGTTCTGTAAATATAAGAAATTTTAACTTAACAATAGTTTCCATTTTTATAATCGTGGTCATTCAGAGAAATAAAAACTATAAGTTATCATTTTGAACCAATTTAAGTAACATTAAATTAAGCAGTCATCAAATAAAATGATTACTGCACTAATTTTTATATTGTGAGAGAAGGGTACCATATCTATTATGTTATTTAGAAAGTAATTTCGAAGTAACTTACACATTAAATGATTAATAAAAATAAAAGGGAATCTTCTCAACACATAGCATGTGAATTTTATAAATAAAAATTAGATGTGTATTAGGACCAGGAGAGTTTTTTGGAGAAGAAGCATTCTTAATGGATGATGGAAAGACATTTATATTAAAACTCTTTAATATATTTTAGATAAGATGGGCAAGAGTGAAATGCTCTATTATTTGTAGAAGTCAATGTGGTTAAATATTTAGAATAAGTAGAGAAGACATAATAAAGTATTTAAATCATTTAATTATTTTAGGAGATTTTGGGATGAAAAAACACAAACTGTCTTTTTATCATTACTATAATCTATTCATTAATTTAGATTGAATAAGATGAGTTACTATGATTAAATTGCAAGTGATAAATTAAAATAACTTAATGGTTAAGAGGGAATTGATTAATTTGTTAAACCAATGCTCAAAGTTAAAGTTAGAAATAATTGTGCATTAATAAGGAAAGAAACTTAATAGGAAAAGTCTGATTAAGTATTTTAATAATATTTATAAGAAAGGAGTTTTAATTTTATAAGAAATAGGAGAAAAAAGCCTTTGAATAGTTTAAAAAGTTATTTAAGGATAGAAATTGTTCTTATGCTTAAGTTAAGACATTTTTTGATTAAAAAACTATTGGTTCTCAAAATTATATTGATCGAGATTCATATTTTAAATTGTTTTTTAGATTTCCATCATAATTGAAGAATAGCGAAATATCTCAAAGTTTAAATTAGCCTTAACCAAGTACTGCAAGGACATAATATCGATTAACAACATAACCAAAGGAAGAGAATGAAAAGAGTCCTCAATTTTCAACAAAATAAAGGACATTATTAATATTATCAAAATTGAAACTTAATGAAGTGTTGCCAAAATGCAAAACTATCCATAATAATAACAGTCCATTAAATATTTAGAGATTAGAACTTAGAAGATTTGGGACTTAGAGTTACTTATAAATGAAATGATATAAAATTATTAATATTTTCTTTTAATAAAACATATGAAGAGATTATTGAGGAATGCTCAAATTTTATAAAAATAATCACGATATTATCATCATGATCCTGCCAGTAGAGCTTTAGTAGGTAATGATTCAATTTTATATAATTCAGGATCACCTTAAGAGATTGCTCCTCCTATACACTTCAAATTATATTATCTCCCAGACAATGTAGCCAAGACTGGATAAGGTATGGGACATCCTCATTATAGTGCCTATTAAATGGAAGGAATCACTACTTATGATAATTGGGAATACAAGTAGATTATTAATTTCATCTAGATATTATGGTTAATGGTGGCATATTGGATCTGTATTCTGGAATTCTTTGATGTTATTCTACCCCTTATTATTATGGTTTGTTATTGAATAGAGTGAGGTAATTAGAGATTGTTTATCAACCTTAGCAAGAAGCACTTTTGTTGAAGGATGACATCTTTAAGAAATATTTCAATGAAGCAGGAGGATTTTATTAATATACATTCATAGGCCCAGAAACCACTTTAAATTATTGAAGCATTCATTGGAAAATATAAAAATATATTAAATATTACATAATGAATTCCATCCCTAACAAAGGGGATATGTAAAGTAATTTACAAACTATAAGTTCTAGTCAAAAGTAAACCTAAGATTTCAAGCAGTACTGGCTTACCACCACTTCTTTCTCCAAGAATTAAAATTGATCCAATAAAAACAGCTCAAATTCCCCCGGGTTTTAGATCAATTTCTACAGTGAAAAAGAAATCAATAGAAAAGAAGGAAGACACTAGACCAGTTACAGACAATACATAAAACTAAAAATGTTATCCATCTACTAAAAAATAGAGAGCATAAGGTCTCATAATTCGTAAACTCTAAAATCGTCAATCTAAATTATAAACTACAAATTAAGAATCATAAGAATAAATAATGAATAAATTTTAAAGTCCTGCAGTTAGAATGCTTGAGTTCCCTATTAATGGTATTAATTATCTATTACATAGACTTTCATGATGATACAATTATAAAGGAAGAAATGTCCTAACAAAATGAATAAGTGACAGAGAATAGATTCACAACTATGAAAAATTAATCTTTTTCAAGTTCTTAAAAGTTTGTGTTAGAATCATCAAATTCTAATAAATATGTCTAAGATTCATCTTCTAATTCATAGTTTGATTACCATTCTTAGATACCTACTTTTACTGAAGGTGAAATGATTGGTGCTGGTTCTTTTGGATAAGTATACATAGCACAAGAAAATAGAACAGGCAAGATTTATGCAGTAAAAAAGATAAATCTAAAGGGAGACTTTGATTAAGAAGATTTAAAAGGTTTGAAAAGTGAGATAGATCTACTTAAAAGAATTAAACATTAAAACATCATCCGTTATGTTTGGAATTGTGAAAATGAAGATTATTGGTTATTATATTTGGAATATTTATCTTAAGGTATTTCAATACTATTATTTATAGGTACTTTAACTTAATTAATCGAAAAGTTTGGGCCACTTTAACTTAATACAATTCGATAATATTCTAAACAAATATTGTAAGCTATAGCATATTTGCATGAAAATAATATCATCCATAGAGATATCAAAGGAGCCAATTTGCTATTAGGAGTTGATGGTGAAATAAAACTAGGAGATTTTGGATGTAGTAAAATTAAAGAGAAAACTATTTAAAGATCTAAATAAAGTGGAGATATCTTACATTCTTTAAAAGGAAGTATTCCATATATGGCTCCTGAAGTAATACTTTATTTAATTTTCAGGTTGCTAGTTAAGATGAGAATTGTAGGGCTAGTGATATTTGGTCATTTGGATGTACTGTTTTAGAAATGGCAACAGGAAAAAAACCATGGCATGAACACAATTTTGATAATCCTTTGAGTGCTCTTTTATATATTATCACGGATAATTCAATTCCTCTAATACCAGATAACTTGGATGTAGATCTATAATAATTTATTAAACTTTGTTTATAAAGAGATCATAAATAAAGACCGACTGCCATACATTTGCTATAACAATAATTCATAATTAATTAATGATTTAAATTCTACTTGATTTATATTTCATTTTTAATAATAGTCAAATTCTCTGAATTCATCTTAATTGACTAAATTATTTTCAGGTGCATAAGAGTTGATTGCTTCTTCTGCAGTAAATTATTTATCAAAATTTTCAAGCCATGCATCTCCTTATATTTATGGTTTAAATGGAGTTTCAATCTCTTTTTTTAATAATTTCTCCCAATTGACTCCTTTAAACCATGAATGATTTTTTATATCTTCAGTGTTATTGTATCCTAATCTTAATTTTGGATCTTTAATTGTTAACTATGAAAATTAAAATTATAGTAATACTTTTTAAATAAAATCTTTTGCTTCATTAGAAATCTAAGGAGTAGTGGGGAAATTAATATCTTTTGTCTAAATCTATTTAAACATCAAATCTTGATTTTTATTATAAAATGGTGGAAGTGCATATAGCATCTCATAAGTGAGTATACCTAATGCCCACCAATCTGCAGCCATTGAATGTCCTGTTTCAAGAAGTATTTCAGGAGCCAAATACTCAGGAGTACCACAAAATGATTTAGCCAATTCATTTTTTTTTAATATCTTAGACATACCAAAATCTGTTAAACAAATATGGCCTTGATCATCTAATAATACATTTTCTGGTTTTAAATCTCTATATATAATATTTTTTGAATGTAAATGTTCTAATGCCAAAATCTATTGAAAAATAAAGAAAAGAATTTACAATTTCAGAGACATAATATTTAGTTCTATTTTCTTCAAACCTTTTAACATGTTTTAAATGTTAAAATAATTCACCTCCTTTCATAAATTATGTAACAAAAAACAGTTTTTCAGGTGTTTAAAATGCCCAATGTAATGAAACTAAAAATGGATGATTTACATGTTATAAAACCATTCTTTCAGTTTTTGTATGTTCTAATTATTCAGGATCAGCAATATCTTCTTTTCTAATAGATTTCATAGCATAATATTATTTATCACTCTTTTTCTCTACTAGCATCACTTTACCATATGCTCCTCTGCCTAATACTTTTATTAAGTCAAAATCATCTATAGTGACAGCTTCACCTTTCTGTTTTGCATATAATGTTGATGTCTTTGCTCTTGTTTATAATCGTTCTTCTGTTTAAGAATCTAATCTCTTTCTAAATTATTCCTCATTCATCAATTCTGATCCAGTTGTTGGTAACCTATTGATTCCCTTTTTTTTATCAACTTTTGTAGTTGTATAGGCAGTGAGAGTAAGTTCATCTTTATAGAATATTGGAAGTGCAGCTCCTTTATTTTATTAGCAATAAGCTTTGATTATACATAGTACTGCATAATCTCTTCTTTCTGAACTAGAGTATCGATAATCATATTCTTCGGGGACATGTACTACAAATTCTGTTCCAATCAAACCAATAGTTATGGCATATACCCTTTTAATAGGGATTTTTCGCTTTACAGTCAATTTTGATAGATTATATAGATTATGTGTTGTAATAAGAATTGTTCTTTCTTATCTTTTATTGACTTCATTAAATTTGTAAAGTAAACTTGAAAATAAAACATACTCACCTGGCTCTAATATTTTTGTAATAGATTTTTCATTAGCTAAATGTAAATCATCCCAAGACTCTTATTTCATTAATTATAATATTTCTAATTTCAAAATTATAGAAAACTGTCCTTATCTATTGATTATCCAAACTATTTCTTAGAACAAAGTTATGTTTTTAAGATTCAGTATATAATATTATTTAATTTGAGAAACAAAATGAACATTTTTGTTAAATTCGTTTAATATGCAATTTATATGATACTTAATTGATTCATTAATTATAATTGACTATTAAGAATTGTTTTTCATTCTAATAATGAAGTTTTTGATTTAGAAAACATACATTAAAAATTGTGCAATTAAAATTAGAATTATTAATTAAGTGAAAATTTAATTTTTAATTCTAATTTAATTTGAAGAAACATTCATAAGTATATAAAGATGAATTTTTGTTCTCAATAACATGATAATCTCAATTCATTATAATTAGGCTGTTATTTTTGTTAATTCTTCAACTTCATTTTCATTTAAAAACCAGCATTCATTCTTTCTAATAACACATAATTCAATATTTTTGTTACCACTCTCAACTACATCCATTAAAGCCTATTTTATTATTTAATAATATAAATATACTTTAGTAGTAAGTAAAAGAGCATCTTTCTCATGCAATCCTTCTCTCCAATGTTTCTCTAAGAAATCTTTGACTTATTTTGCACTCTTTCCCAATGATGTAGCCTTCCATTCAGAACAAGCTCCTGATGGATCAGTTTAAAATAGCTTTGGTTTATTATTACTAAATCCTGCAATAAGAGTTGAAATTCCATAAGGTCTTGCACCTCCTCTTTATGTAAATTTTTATTATTATTGACTAGTAAATTTGGCAATATAATCAACAGAAGGATCATCTTCGTAATAAATCTTGTATTGCTAACATTATAATCTAGTTTGATTTGCTAAGATTCTTGCATCAGCATTCAATCCAGAAAAGGTCATACAAAGATTATGATCTAGATATATATTGTATAATAAAAATACCCAATTAATATACTTTCTTAATTGTTTTTACATCTTGTAATTTTGATGCTGATTTCTTTTCTACTCCCAATATTATAGCATCTTTTCCTCTTACACCTACACAGCAAAGACCTCTCTTAACTGCTTCCATAGCATATTCAACTTAAAATAATTAACCATCTGGAGAAAATACTGTGAGTGCTGTGTCGTATGACATTATTTAAAAAAAATAATATTAAAATTCATCCTAATCTTAAGTAATCATCTTCTTCTTCAACATCCCAACCTTTAAATTCAATAAGATCATTGTTCCATATCTTTATTGGTCTTTTTTATTAGGTTATCAAACCTTAACTAACACTTCTTTATTATGAAGGAATAACTTTAATTTTTGCTTTTATTTCTGGAGTAGGAATACTAATAACAGATGGTTCTAATTGATTTGATGAATTTTCAATAACTAAATTCTATAAAAACATATGTTATTATGGTTTCTTTTTAATAGGACCATTAAATTCCTCTATAGATTTATCAACAATTTTCCTAGCTGATTATGGTTTTTTGTCTATTATCAACAATTTGTGATCCTATTACATTTCTTATAGATTATTATAAAGGGCCATTTTGTGAACAGAATGAATTGGTTTATTTTTTTCAAATAGTCGAGCTTTTTACAAATCACCCAGTTCTTTTTTTAATTAATTTATTTTTTTTTCCAAAAATGATGAACTTTTTGAAGAGTTGTTATTTTACTTTCTTTATCTATCTTAACTTTGAATTATACTGGATCGAGATGATTAAATTTATTCAAAAACAGATTATCTATGCTTATAAGGAGTCAATTTATTGTTAATAACAAATTTAATTCCTGGTTTGATTTATCTCACTTAAGTAAATTATTCTCTATAAGTAGGATTGAGTAATTGATCAATTCGATTTGCTACATGTTCAAGATGAAGTATATTAAAGGCTTTCATTTTTTAAGGTTATTTTCTTGAACTTTTCATTTTTTAATCTTAACAATATATATTATTAATATAGTGACTTATAAAATTATAATCATTTTCATTATTCAAATTAGGTAAGCTATTGCAAAAGATCAGCATCAATCTATTTGGTTTAAAGCTATTAATTATCATTTTCAGGTATATCTTCAATCTATGTTAAAGAAACTTAACTTTCACATAAATTTAATCCAAATAAATCTTTAACATTCTTACATGTTTATATATGTAAACTTCTAATATCTATAGAAGTCTCCATTCTTGGATTAAATTCATTTATACTCTTTTCACTTTCAAATATAGTTATAGTATTGATATACTTAATGGTTTCTTTCTTACCACCAATTCTTTAATGAATCTAAGTTGAAGCTTATAATTTAAATTATTCTAATCTCTATTTTAAACTATCTTAATTATTGCTACAACCATTTATTGAAACTTCTAAACTTTTATTTAAATCCTTTGGAGTATCCTCTTCTTAAATTGCATCAAATCTTCTACTTTTTAATAGAGTATTTGCTAATTCCTAATTAAGCATCATTGCAGAATTTATCAATGTTTTGTTGTATAGATCACTATTTTGGCTACTTTTACTTACATCAATATCATCTTTAACAATTTTAATCTAGTTTGGAAATGTATAGGATGGTATCCAAATGTGCCTCAATGCCTCTAAGTTAAAATATGTAGATACCTGAAGCATTTAATCTTTTTAATGGATTCCACATCATAAGTCTCTTTATGAAATCTCTACAACTAGTTGGTAATTCTAAAAAAGCTTATTTATGAAATGGATCTAATTATGGTTCTCTATATCAGACTAAAAGAAAATACCTTTAGGATAGAGTTTCAATTAAATCTCCAGTATATTCAGAAGAATATGGTAATATTCCAGTAAGACATTAATATATCACTACTCCAATTGCCCATAAATCAACTTGAGAATCATATCCATAATCTCTATAGATTTCTGGTGCTCGATAATGGATGTTCCCAGTAATTGTCATCATTTTATTTCGATTGTACCTTAATGTATTTTAATTTATGGTAACAAATCTTCTTGAAACCCCAAAATCAATCAACTTGATCTTGTAGTCCCTAAGTAGAAAAAGATTATCACTTACATAAAAACTTAAATATTGTCTGGTTTTATATCTCTATGACAGACTCCTGCTTTATGCAAACATTTCACTGCCTTCAATAAAGTCAATGCTATCTATTATACTTATTTTTCTTTTAATCTTTAATTCTGTTTTAAGAGAGTCTCCAAATTAGAACATGGCACCCATTCCATTAACAAATATAACTTAGTTTATTCAATGAACAATTTATAACATTTTGCTATAAACGGGCTTTTTAGTAATTGTGAATTGATAAAGGCCTATTTTACCATATTAATTATCTCCTCATCATCCGTTGGTATAACTTTTACTGCATATTTTACTTAATCATCTAATTTAGACCAACATAACCAAACAATACCATTTGTTCCTTCTCCTAATTTCTCTCCTAAGGTGTATTCATCCAAAAAGCAATTATTCTTCAATCCAATTTGATTATTTTCAACATTGTTATAATTTGTGTCATGATCGCTTAAGTCAGAACTTTATTATTGTTATTGAGTTAAAAGTGGAGTTTTAGTTTTCCTTTCATTGGTTTCTTCGACAGGAGAAAAATTACATTCGGAATTTAGAAACCCTTTAATTTTTTACATTCTCTTCTAGAATTAAGATTGTTAAGGTTAGCTTTATATCATATTTTTATTTTAAAGAGCCAATAAACGTAATACATTAAATTTATTATAATTTATTTTTCATCATCTATGATAAAATTTGAATCATAACTAAAGAAATGACACACTATATCTATTTATATATTGTTCAATATCTATTATTTTAATGGAGTATAACTTGTTTATTAATTTTGGGAATGTATAATTATGTAAAAAAAAAGTAAAAATAATTGTTTTTTTATTGAAAAAAGAGGAGGATCTGGTTATATTTCTAATTTTGGATAGTAAAATAACTAAATCATATTTATTTAATATTCCATTTATTCCTTAAATATTTGAAATATTCGTATTAAAATGTATATTTAATTTAACAATAAAGTTAAATCATAAATCAATAGAAAAGAGAAGGAAAGACTTTATTCTTAAAGATTAAATCACTTTTGAAATTTACATATATTATCTAAAAAGAAGATCCAGTAATTAAATCTCGAATAATCAGTTGATGTATGGTATAAGATCAATAATAGAAGAGAAGAAATAGGTTGATAGTACATTTAATATGATCAATAATGAGTAACTTATTAGTAAAAGTAATACTCTTAAAAGGTTTAATTTATATAAAAGGCGATATGATAAAAGTGATAAAAAATATTTTAATATCTTTTCAATATTCTCTCTTTATTACAAATTTTCCTCTGCTACAACTTTAAAAAACATGGGAATATATTGTTTAGCAAAATTATGAGAAATATATTAGTATTATTTAATCAAGTAAGAGAGAATAATTTGCCTTCTCTCCATACTCCCTTTGTGATATGTTCAGAAGACTCTGTAAACTCACCAACCCCATGTTGTAAACCATTCATCCATTAACCAGTGTATTTTCGACCATCAGCAAATTGAAATGTTCCGAAACCTTATCTCTTATCGCTTACATATTAACCAACATAAAGTCGACCTTAAGTTTGAATAATAAAATTGTACCATCTGTCCAGGATAAGATTCCTTAACCATGCATCATTCCATTTTTCCAGTCCCCTTGAAATTTTCTTCCATCAGGCCATATCTTTTATTATTATTATAAAAATACAAATATTCCTTTCCCTCCAAATTATCCATTTATAAATGAACCATCATATTTTTCTTTATTCTTAAATATTAATATCCCTTAGCCATGTTTTAAACCATTACGAAATTAACCTAATTTTAATATATAGTAAAATACCTTTATAATGAGAATCACTTTTAACTTCAATACCATATCCATTATATTTATCATTTAACCATGAACCTTTAAGTATTTTTAATTATCATACCATCATAAATTGAACCATCAGCATAATTATACACTCCTTTACCATGCATATAATTCAAATGGAAATCCCCACAATAATATCCTCCTTCCGCATCAAAAAATTTACCTTTTCCACTTGCATAGCCATTATTCCACTAAATTAGTTTAAAAATTTATTACCTCTCCATAATATCTACTAGAATCTACAAATTTGTACTCTCCTTAACCCTAAGGTTTTTTTTTATACCAGTGTCCAGTGTAACATCCACCATTTCTCATCATAATTGAAGGTAATTTGCACTATTCTTTTTCACTTTTAGCTATTAATTAATAGTCATCCTCATTCAATAGTGATAATAATTCTTTTTCAAATAATTTTTCCTCTAGTTCTTAACTTTATTTGCTTGATTTGTTTGTACACATGGAAGGTCTAATCTAACAGGAATCCTCTAAAGAATCAAATTCTGGAATTTCATCTGAGTGTGCTTATGGTACTTTTGATTTAGAGTAATCTTTTGCTATCTCAAATAATTTTCTGTAATTTTCTTATGAACTTGATTTTGATCTTCTATATGTATAAATTTAAGTTAAACCTTTGTGAACTTTCGATATCGAATTCAAAAATAGTCTAAAAACCTTCTGAATGAGCTTTAGTATGTTCAGATTATTCTAGCATCCTCTATTTTCAAGATCAATTTAATATTAAATATATAATCTAAACACAAAATTCTTAATTGTTTATGATATTGAAATATCTAACAAATTTAATTTATATTCAATATCAAGTAATAGAATCAATTTGGGATATATCATCAAAATTACAAAATTTACTTTGAATATAGAAAAATAAAATATATAATTATTTACATTAAAGAAAATTCTTTACTATGATATTTAAATTAATAATAAACCAAATACAATACATTACAAAAATTATTTTTAAAAATGTTCTATGATTCAATCTTATATAATAAAAATAATGTAAAAATGATGAATAAGAATATGAAACATACAATTAATGTAGAATATCAATACTCTTTGTCAAAATTAAGTTGTTCTAATAAATCCAATTTAAGTTATCCTAAAATCTTTGAATATGGACCACTTAATTTTTCTATTTGTTCTTCTTCAGTGTTTTTATCTATGATATATAAAAAATTGTATTACCTTTATTATTTCCTTAAGCAGTCGATTCCAACATAGATAATAAATCTGTTTTTTCCATTTATTTTAATGAAGCATTATCTGAATTTACAATAGCTTTAGATATTGCTGATTTAAATCTTTAAATTCCCATAATTTTCTCTTCTAGGGTATCCTTGACAATTAATCTAAAAACTTAAACAACATTTTTCTATCCTATTCTATGGGCTCTATCCATTGCTTATTGATCATTTACAGGATTATAATCATGATCAAACATTATTACAATATTTGCTGAACTTAAATTCAATCCTAAACCACCTACTTAAGTTGTAAGAAGTAACACTCTAATATCTGGATCTTCATTAAATTTTGTTACCAAAGGATATCTTTAAGCTTATGGAACACTTCCATCTAAAATTAAATATTATAATCCTGGAAATTATGTTTTTAATAACTATTCAGCTATTAATTAAAGTGCAGCTCTAAATCTGGAGAATACTAAGACTTTATTAAAATTTGTATAAATTGTAATTTAATCTCCTTGAGCCTATTGTTAAGGTGCATCATCTGTTGATTGAAATCCCAATTATTATAAAATATCTTTAAGAGCAATCATCTTTCCTGAATGAGAATAGCTATCAGGCTTTTCTTATTTATCTAATAATTAATTTATTTCTTATTCAGCCAACATCTCGATATTTTCTGTTTTCACTTTTTTCTTTGGTCTTTTGTTTGGTAGAATTACACTTCTTACTAAAATAGGATGATCTAAAGCTTATCTTAATTTATGTAATAATTTGAGAACAGATTCACATACTTTATTTTTTTATT